CATTTATTCTTGAGCCAGTAATAAATCCATGATCTGAGGATCATGGTTCAAAGCCAGTCCAGACAGAAAAGTCCACAAGATTATGTCCACAAAAAGGCAGAAGCTGAGTTGCAGCTCAAGTGGTAGAGCACCTGCTTTGAGCAAAAAAACTAAGGGACAGTGCCCAGACCCCGAGATCAAGCCCTAGTATCAACACAGACACGGACACCCAAATACGCACACCACATGTACACAAACAATTGCAGAAAACTGGAGCTTCTCTCAAGTCTCTGAACAAAAGAAAAGTCACAGTGATTGAGAGACTGAAAGTCTTTTAATTCTCAACTAGTTTACTGGAAAAACTTGGTTAGCAAAACTTTCTGAATTGGGTGTACCAGTTTTGTCTATCATCTTATTAACTAGCCAACTGAAGACAAAAGTATCAGAAATGCTCTAATTATGTCAGCAAGAATGAGAAAAGAGGGCTGGGAAGGTGGCTCAGTGGTAGAGTGCTTGCCTTGCATGCATGAGGCCCTGGGTTCGATTCCTCAGCACCACATAAGCAAACAGAAAAAAGCCGGAAGTGGTGCTGTGGCTCAAGTAGAGCACTAACCTTGAGCTGAAGAGCTGAGGGACAGTGCCCAGGCCCAGAGTTCAGGCCCCATGACCGGACCCAAAAAAAAAAAAAAAGAATGAGAAAAGAAAGCAAGACACTGACTTTTACAGAAAGGGCATCTCAGTTTCTTCATCTGCTTATGGGCATAGAAGGAAATTCCATCTCTGTCTTTTATTAAAAGGATTCATTGAGTAACAAATGGTGTAAATGCTTCATAAAACTCACAGACCTGTACAAAGGTGAAGAATTGTTATACACCAGCAAGAAGTGACCTGGACAGAAAGAGGTGTGCTTGTCCCTGTGCAAAGAACCCCTTCCAATTATGCCCAGGACATTCAACTGTCGTGTAGCTTACTTGAAGCTCAGAGTTTTTAGTCCACATATCCAGGCTTTCCATAATGTCTCCAAGAAGCGATTACCCCAACCCTTGAGGGCTTTTCAGTGGGTCAAGCCCCTGAGTGCATTGATTTTGTTATCCTGGGGATCTGGCCATTATGAGTAACACATGAGGTAGGACCCCCTGGCCTTGTGGACAAGGCATTAGTAAAGAGCTTGTTTTCATACAGAATTCTTGCTTTTTGGTGCAAGACTGGGACTCAAGCTCAGTATCTGAGGTTTTCACCTATTGGCTGATGCTCTACCACCTGAATCACACCTCCAACCCTCAACATTCTTATTTCTGATAGTTCTTTTGGATTTATAGACAGAATATTCTGTGGCACATTCCACAGCTTTCATTATATAGACAGATTATGGTGGCTTTATATGAAAGATTATTGAATGTCTACCTGTGAATAATGATAGTTTCCAACTATTATTACTATTGAGTAACTGCCTCTTGGCAGTTACTCAATATACAATAGCTGGTAGAATGTGCTAAGAAAATACTGAACTGAAACCAACAAAATGTAATGAACCATAATGAAATAATAGAATGACTTAAAAAGTACATACATATACACAAAGTATAGGACTTTGTATGTGAGGGAGAAAAAGAGGAGGGGAAGGGAGCAGCTGATTTACAAATCCATTAATACATGTTGTGCTGAATTCAATAAGAATTGTCAATCTCCAATGATGGCATATCATATTATTCTAAACATTCGATTTCTTTCTGTGCCAGTACTGGGGCTTAAACTTGGCCTAGGCACTTTCCCTTAGCTTTTTCTACTCAAGGCTTTTTCTACTCTAACATCTTCAGTCACACCTTCATTTCTGGCTTGTTGTTTATTCATAGATCATAGTCTCAGGGCTTTTCTGCCTGGGCTGGCTTCTAACCTTGATCCTTCGTTCTCACCCTCTCCAGTAGTTATGATTACCAACACACACCACTAGTATCAGCTTCAAACAATGTTTGAAAACAAAAATTATTCTATCTCATTGGAGATGGTGAAGGTATCTGATTGGGTTGCAAGAATCCAATATTTTGAAGTAGAAAGAATATTTTGCAAGAAGAGACGGACTGAGCTTGACTAGTAGGAAGCACTACTGTTGATCGTGTGTGTGTGTACATGCAAGTTAAAATCTAGGACATAAAATTAAGTGTCATAAGGACAGTATAATAAGCAGGCATCTCAATTATTAGGTACCCTTTATTATACAGTGTAAATGGCTCTGGAACAACATAATGACAGTATGCTCAGGAGCACAAGACCTATAGCTCTGACCGTAAATAGACTGGCTATTTGTATATGTTGAATAGTGTTTTTGTCTTGATACATTTTAGAAAAGGCTAACATTCATTTTAGATACTAAGGCCTTGTCAAGTTAAAAAATGTGAAATGTGTAGTAGTTTCCCTGTGATAACAGAAAAGTTTGAATATATTTAACATGTCTTGATTGTTTTGTGTGGGTTTTTTTTTTTCCTAATATGAGCACTTAGCAAAAAAGATGGAATCATTCAACAAACCTTTCTTTCTGTAAAACACAAGATCTCCCATAGCCCAAAGCTATCCTTGAACTTGGGAATCCTACCTCACTTTTTTGAGAGCTGGAATTACAGGCTTGTGCTGCCACCCCGAGCCCCAAATCCAGTTTTGTAAAACAGTTTTGTAAGTCTTACGTAGAGCCTTCTGGCTCTATATAAGAGGTATGAGAGCAACCAACCACTATTCAACACGAAGGAAAATAATTCTCAGCATATAGGCCTTTTCTTTACATAATCAAAAAAAAAAAATAAAACCTAAAAACTTTTACTTGCATTCTTAAAAAGTTTCTCCATGCTTATTCTTAGTTTAGAAAATTTGGAAACTCAAAAGGAAAATTTAAGCTGTGACCATTAATAATATTTTGGCATTTCCTTCCTGAGAAAATTAAGTCCTTTAATTTCCTATTGTTTCTTTCTCTCCATCACACACAAAGGCACACAGCTAGTCATCCTGTTTATAGTCGTATATCCTACTTTTTCCATTTAACATACCATGAACATTTTTCCATGTCATTAAGTATGCTTTGAATATGTTCTTGACCGCATAAAATTCCATCCTATTGATGCACCTGTTTTCTTTTAAGCAGACACATGCCATGCTTCCCAGTCATGCTGGGCTCTTAATTGAAACGGCAAAGAAAATGCTGTGTGATCCACTATGTTCCTCTGATTGTTTTTAATTCTATTTATAAAAGGTATTGCAGTACAAACACATCTATGGACACTAGATAAGATGGCTAATAAACACTCCAGAGAAAATGTCAGCTAGTTCAAGTCCCCTTGCTCTTATTGGTTATATACAGCACCATGATAAAAGTGTCAACTAGCCTCACCGTTGCTTTTTTCCATTTTGTGAGAGCTACAAATAACTTTACCATGATCTCTTTGAGGTTATGACAGTATAGTTTTAACATTAAATGCTACGTAAATAGCTACAACCTTCCAGAAATGTAAACGTCATACATATATAAAGTCACCACCTACACTTTTAAACTTGAGTATTCCCAATGCAGGTGTGGGGAGGGAGGGGTTGTTACTGCTCATGAATGCTCCCAACCCTCCCCAATCTGAGTATTTTAATTTTGTCTAATTCTCTGTCTTCAGAGGGATTGTTGAAGTTTTATCTGCTACACACAGGTTTGAACCTCGTTAAGGGAATGAAACAGCATAAATGAAGCCTTTAGTCCTCAGGAGGGCGCTGTGGAACTATGTTCCTTGGGTTGCCTTGCCTGGGGAAATTTCTTTTGTTGCTCTTAATTCCGTAGGGAATGCAAAGCCAGGCCTCTGAAAGCTGTAATTTCATTTACTTTTAAATAAAGACAAACCATTCCATCTTTTTTTAAGCTGTGAAACAGGAATTGTATGTTTACCAATGGAATACTGTCATTAAAACTGAGCAAATGAAAGAATTGAGCAGTTTTTACCTAGAAAAGGACATTCAAGGGAGGAAACTGCATAGTTTAATATTGATTTGTAAACAGAACCCAACTGTGATAGCATTTTAGAACAAGTCTTTTATAACTTGTCAAGATACCGTGGGTGCCAGGTGCCTTGGTGGCTAGCTAGACACTCAGGAGGCTGAGATCTGAGAATCAGTTTGAAGCCAGCCCAGGTAGGAAAATCCAAGTCCATAACAAACTTATTTCCAATTAAGCACCAAAAAGCCAGAAGTAGAGCCTGTAGCTCGTGATGAGTGCCAGCCTTAAGTAAAAAAGAGCACCCAGGCCCCGAGTTCCAGCCCCAGTACCAGCCTTCCCCTGTTATTACAGATGGCTTTTTAGTGGACTTCTGTGCCCTGTACTCTAGTTTCAATTGAAATTGGTTTGCATGGACTTTTAAGATAAAAATAAAACAGTGACATCATTGTTCAGATAAAATATTATAGGTTTATTTAAAACTTAATTCTCACCTTGAGTATGCAAAATACAAACTCCACAAAATGTTCAATTTTTTTACTTTGTAGTTTACAAATATACAAAATAGAAGTTTGCTTAAATTTATATTACATATTTATTAAGGCAAGGAACTATATAGAAAAAACACATTTGTTCTGCTTAAGGCATACTTGGGAATAAACCATTGTACAAATTATTGCACATCTGAAACCACAGTGCATAACAGACTGTCTGCATAAAAAAAATGTTAAAAGTAAACCAGGCATAATTTACCTGACTTAGGTCATACATGTAGATCGGAAGACAAAAATAGATTCCTTGTCAAAGTATGCAGCAGTTTGAGAACTTTGGCTTCCTCTTTTGGTACCTTTAGAACCAAGACTCACCAAGCACCATCATTTAGGCTATTAGAACACATATTCTGTACCTGAAATTTCTTCCTCTTCTTCTAACTGAATAATGGCTTTTAGAAGGCAAAGAGAATACAAGGTGATCTGTATATTTATATTGCATCTGAAAACACAATTCAAGGGAATTCTGGTCTTCCCTACTCCCCCTCCCCCCAACTGAGGGATCTAATTTATACCCTGATATCCACAGCTTCCGGTCACCCCCATTGTGGTGTTTGTAAGTCCAGGCATATTCAAGTTGATTTAGAATTGGAATGATAGAAGATCCAGTCTCAGACCCCATCTGTTCTTTGATTTTTTTTTTGTTTTATTTTTTAATTTTTTTGTCTTTTTTGGATTCCTCCTTTCTCTTGATTATCCATTTCACCAGCTGACTTGTTGTGACCATGATTGTAGTGCTTTGCCAGCTGAGCTCTCCCCACATGGGAAGACAACGTGAAAGGTTTGAAAAAAAAAAAAAAATACTGAATTCTCTTCTGGCAGTGTGGGTCGTCGGATGTATCCACTGTCTGGGATTTAAAAGTGCCTCTTCATGTGTAAGGCCAGGTGGTCCGACCTGGAAAAGGCCCTGTCGCACTTCTGGCACTGGAAGGGGCGGTGCCCCGTGTGTTTTCGATAGTGCCTGGTCAGTTCATCAGAGCGGGCAAACTTCCACCCACAGCCATCCCAGTCACAGTGGTAAGGTTTCTCACCTGTACAGAGTAAAGGGGAAAATGAACAAAAACAAAAACGTTGAAGCCACGGCAGGGATGTCAACGCCGATTCCCCACATACCTCAGTCCACTTCTGCAAAAACCCAGCAATGACTTTTGGCCACCACAAAGGATCGTATTAAATTTCACATCAACGGGAATAATAACCGATCATTGTTGTTTTAAGTAGTTGCTCATTTTTAGGAGAGCCACACACACCCCTCGTATCTACACTTCAATAGAGACATCTTTTCATTTCTTGTGTTTTCATTCTCGGGAGCCAAAACCACCACTGTGGCAAATTACTGGTAATGTAAAGGCCCCGACTGGCACAAATATCCTATCCCATTACAATTGGCTCTAAAAATCCACAGGTGGCTAACATTCCAGCACAAACATTCCACTTTTCATAAACAATACGTCAAAGACAACTATATGCATCTGCTTAAACAATACTGAAAACTCTCTATTATTGAGAAAGGGGTGGGGTCCTGCTATGTTGCTCAGACTAGTCTCTTCTAGGAGGTTCAGGTGAGTGGCTTACATCGATCATCTTAACCCAAAATTTCCCTGGCTATCATAACCAGTAAAATAGAAACCAAAGAAGGATTGGATTTTAAACAAAAGGTACATAAACAGAACCAGCAAAAACAATCCAGGAGAAAAAAACAACAACTAAGAATTGACTTTTTTAAAACGCCATCATATTCCTGCACTGCAAAGTATAATTTCTTGATTACCAAGCGAAGAGAGAGGCCCACCTGCACCGATAATCTCCCTGCCTTTTAAGGGCCTAACGAAACTGCGCATTTAAGCACAGATACCATCCATCAAGCAAAAGGCTTCTGGGCAAAAACGCAGGCGCCAGTTTGCTGTGTCCTTCCCCCCTGTGATCCAGGAGATTAAGGAGATACTCTCAGGAAACGAGAGTCCAGGGCGACTCCAGAGCCCTGGAGAGGTGAGGACACCCACCTAACCTCCCGGCCTTTCCTCGCCTCCGCCTCCCCACCACCCCTTACCCCAACCTACCGGTGTGGGTTCGGAGATGTGCCTTGAGATGAGAACTCTTTGTATAGGTTTTGCCGCAGCCCGCGTAATCGCAAGTGTGGGTGGCCGTCCTTTTCCGGGGCCACGACCTTCTTCCCCTCTTTGGCTTGGGCTCCTCTGGCAGGCAGGAACCGGGTGGCATGAGCTCTAGTAGGGGTTGAAGAGGGTGGAGGTCACAACACTGTGGGGGGGGGGGATGTGACCCCCGACCGACACGCCCGAGTTCCCTAAGCGCCCCCCCCCCCCAATCTCCCTCCTCCTCCCCGGGGACTGACCTTGGTAGTGGAGCGGCGGGACCTGCGGCTGCATCTGGTCAGGCAGGAAGGGTGGGTAGTTGGGCCCCGGGTGGGCATGGAAGCCCGGGGGCAGCGGCAGGGCGGGGTGACAGTCCCTGTTGGCCAGCAGTTCCTCGGGACTCAGGGTCGGGGTAGTCCTGCTGGGGAGCTGCCGCCCCAGGGAGAAGTCGTGCGCGCTGGGCCTGTGGCCGTTGCTGAGCGGGGGTCCCGCACCCAAGTGGGCCTCCAAGGGCCGGCCGACGGTGCACGAGGAGACCACGGCCTCCTGCTTGATCTTGGGGCACATGCGCGGCGGCCCGCCGCTGTAGGGCGCCACCACCACCGGGTGGCTGCCGTCCGGGCTGCCTTTGCTAACACTGATGACCGACGGGCCGCCGTACTCGCTGCCGGGGGCGCTCAGCGACGCCTTCAGCACGAACTTGCCCAGCAACCCGCCACCTGGCGGCGGCGGCGGCGGCGGCTGCTGCTGCTGCGGCGGGATGTACACCGGGTCCAATTCGGGCCGCAGGAGCTCGGCCACAAAGCCGCCCGAGGGGCTCACGTCGTTGATGTCCGCCAGGTTGAAAGGAGCCGTGGGAGGAGGCGCGGGTTCCCGGCCATAGAGGAGGCCGCCGCCGCCGCCGCCGCCCGAGCTGCCCGGTGCCACCCCCGGGTCCCCTCCGGCCCGGAGCGGATAGCTGAAGCTGCAGGTGGAAGGTGCGCTGGGAGGGCCGCTGCTCGACGGGGAGGACGAGGACGAGGCGGAGGCGGACGACGACACGGTGGGGACCACCGCTTCTTGATGGGACAGCGAGTTGGAAAGAATAAAGTCTAGGTCCAGGAGATCGTTGAACTCCTCGGTCTCTCTCCGGGGCAGGAGGGCCGGGTTGTTTCCGCCGCACGCCGCGCCGGCTCCGCCACTCTCCAGGTCCGTGGTCACGGTGGCCGCCAGGTCGAAGGGGCGGCCGGGAAGCACCGGGGGAAGCCGCTTCATGTGGGAGAGCTCCTCCCGCCAGCGCTGCAGAGGGGACCGGGCGCGAGACAGGCCGTTAGTCGTCATCCCCTGCTGCCACCCCGACTATGTATGTACCGACTCGGTGGCGTTGGTCCCGGGGAAAACGCCACCCCAACATCTCCCAGACGTGAGATCGGGGGGGGGGGGGGTGTGGACGGGGGGGGGGGGGGAGGAGAAGGTGACATAGGCTGAGCTAGATCCCAACCACCGCCGAGGTCCGAGGAGCGGCGGGGTGTGTGTTCGCCTTCGTGGGAACGAGCGCCACCGTCCCCCAGCCTATCTCCTCCTTCGCCGGATCCCGGGGCGCGGGGGTGTGTATAGGGGGGGAAGGACTCTCCAGGCGCCCGTGGACTTGGGGCACCCTCGCCACCCGACCGCCTACGCCCTCCTAAGGCTCACCCCAGCCCAGCCGGTGGCTCCGGACTTAGCCACCACCTCCCCCTCCCCTCGCCCGGGTGGCCCGCACGCGCCCACCCTACCGTCCTCGAGACAAGTGGGGAACCGCTGTGCGCCCCTGGCGGCGCCCAGACCACACACGGCACACGTTCAATCTACACCCCCCACACCCCAGTCATCCTGGAGCCTGTGCGTCCCTTCCCGGGGTGATCCTCACCGCCCCCCCCCCCCGCCCCAACACACACACACACCAGGGTCCGCCTAAGCCCCACTTCACCCACAGAAACACATCGGGAGTCCCGGGCCACCCCCGACGACACTCACGTTATTCGGGGCACCTGCTGGGCGCAGTGTCTTCTCCCTTCCCGCCGGGCCGGGCGCGAACGTGGAGAAGGACGGGAGTAGGGCGTCGCTGACAGCCATGTCAGACTCGCCAGGTGGCTGCCTGCGGACCAGGCGGGCGCAGGGAGGCAGGCGTCAGGGCCGCTCGGGGCCACCAAACACCCCACCGGTCCCCGGCCACTGCTCCCAAACACCCCACCGGTCCCCAACACCCGGCATCTCACCTACCTCATTAATGTGGGGGGCCAAGAAGGTCCTCCGGAGTCCGAAGAAGCGGGGGTACCCGAACCCCAGTCACCGAGTATTTAAAAAAGGAAAATCTAGAAGCGAAGCCCCAAGCCAAGAAAAAAAACACAAAAAACACAAAAACACCCAAGTTGCCCGATATTCGTCTTCTTAGGATTAAATATGAACTCGAGATGTCCTTTCTTAAAAGTTCCTTTGTATGCAAAAGTTCTCGGGAAAGTTGTAAACTCGTATCAAAATATCAACAGTCAGCAAGGCGAGCGAGTAGGTCCGGCGGGCGGGCTGCGCCGCGTTCCGCTCAGCGGCGTCCCCCGCCGCGGTCGCGGCCGCTGCGGCTGTCGTCGGCGGCACAGGGGCTGTGGCCGGGGCGGTGGGCGGGTGGCGCCGCCAGGTGAGAATGGCCGCGGTGGCGCGGAGCTGCGAGCTGGGCGGCGGCGCAGGGCGCGGAGTCCTGGGGGCTGCGCGGGGCGCGCGCGGCCATGGGCGCGGGCCACGGGCGGGTAGGTGGGTGGGGGGCCAGAGGGGCGGGGAGGGGCAATCGGCGGCTCTGGGTGCCGCCGCCGCCCGCCACCGCCTCTGCTCCCCGCGCGCCCGCAGCCGCGCTCGCTCACTGGGGCCGGGGAACTGCCGGCGGCCGCCGCGCGCTTCTTACTTTATAACTTCTCGGCTAGCGCCTACCCCCGCCTCCTTCCCGCAGCGCGCCCCGGTCCGCCGTCAGGCCCCGCCCCTCTCTTTCTTCTCCCCGCCCTCCCGCGGCCCCCCGCGCGTTGCCATGACAGCTAAATAAACAAACTCCACGCACGTGGGGGCGGGGGAAAAAGGAGGGGCGCGGGCGGGGCGGGGCCTGGCCGGGCTGGGCCGTGACGCCAGCCGGGCAGCTGGCAGGCTGGAGCCGCGCTGACGCCGGCGGTGGTGGCTGCGGCGTCTCCGGCGTGGGGCGCGGGGGTGCGGGGAGCCCGGTACAGATCTGATTGGCGGCGCCATGGGGACCCTCCGCGCCTCCATACTCGGTCCCCCGTGGGTTCGAAGCCCGCGGCCGGGACGGCTGTTGGTAGTTGAGAGAAGGCAGCGCGCCCCTCCTTGAGCTCGTGTACGCGCTGGCCGCGCCGTCCGCGCGCGCGAGGATCCGAGTGACTCACCGAGCCCGCCCGCCCCTTGCAGCCGCGCTCCGAAGCCGGGCTCCCGCCCCGCTGCGCCTCGGTCCGGGGCTGGGCCTGGTCTCCCTCTTGATCGTCGCCGGGCTCCCGTCGGGTGTGGGTGGGGTGAGGTGGGGAGGGGATAGCGAGAGGAGGCGGGTGCCCAACTCTGGGTGGTGGGGAGCAGGAGCCTCCAAAAAGCCGCGGTGTTCCGCGCCTGCCACGGGCGCAAAGCCGCCAGCCGGGGATGGGGGACGGAGTGCGGGTTTCGCTATTTACAAATAAAAAGGAGGGCGGGAGGGGGGGGGTGAAAGATTTATTTGGGAACCCGAGGCGCACTGACACCTTTCAACCCGGCCTCTCAAAGCGCTTGGCAAGCTACGCGCTCCCCCGTCCACTTTATGGATGAGAAAACTGAGTCATAGCGAGGTGAAGAGGCGAGGTGAAGGTCAAACGACAACTCGCTCGCTTCTGCCTAGGCTCCGGGGCCGGTCGGACCCACCGAAGAAGGGTGAGGGCGAGGCGGGGGGGGGGGGGGGGGGAGTGGCTCGGGGCCGGGCAGGGGAGCCGGGGTTGGGTGGTGAGCGGCCCGCCTCCCTGGCCCACCGAGCCCCGCCGCCGCCGCGGCCGCCGGCCGGGAGGAAAGGAAAAGGGATCGTTATTTCAGCCTTTAGAACGCGGCCTCCCCGCCCCCTCCCGCCTCCGGGTTTGGGATCAGTAATTTTCCAGCCGGGAAATGTGTTCGCCCTCCTCCCCCCCCCTCCTCCTTCTTTAAACGTGAGTGTGGTATTCAGTATCGTTTGCTACACGTAGGCTCGCGTGGTGTTTATGTTGGATTCGGGCGTGGAGAGCTGGGTTCCACCCGCCCTCGCGGCCGAGCCCCCTCACCAGCCAAGTCAGCCCCGGGGGAAGCCAAGGGACAAGAAGAGGTGGGGACCCGGGGAGCCGGAGCCGGCGGTGCTCCCGCCGCGCGTGCGCCCCCCCCCCCCCCCCGCAGCTCCTGCGGCGCCAGGTGCCACGTCACTGCGTTGTCGCTGTCACCTGTGTGAAGCTCGAGATCTTGGTACCTACTTCTTTCTTCTTCTTCTTCTTTCAGAATATGTGTTATCCCAGATTTTTCCTCTCCTCTCCGACCACAGAAGCATTTTTGGAATGCATGTCGACCCCAGACGCCTCACTCTGCCAAAGGCAGGAATCCCTCTAGGATCCAGAAAGCCGGTCGCTCCGAAGGTTGACTTCTGTCCTCCACCTTGGTTTTTGGCTTCCATGGGGATGAGGGCCCAGCCTTGGCCCGGGAAACATCCTCCCTTCTGCGGCCGGGCGGGCTTCAGCCCCTCCCCGTGGAACGAGGCCAGTTACTGAAAAGTGGGAGCCAAGACCACCCCCACCCCTTTCTTTCGTTGTGATGGCAAAGACCCACTGGTGGGCTACTGGGAAAAACCACTTTTTTCTCCCCCATTAAGGTCAGGGTCCCTAAACTCCAGTGAAGTTGGAGGAGCTTTTGATTGGTAGCCATCACCCTTGGGATTTAAACATGTAAATCTGGATTTGGAGCTTATGGCTTGGGTAATCCATTTTACCAGATTCATTCGACTAGGCTTTTATTTACCTAAGGCAGTAGCCCTTCCCCCTCACCAAAACCAACCCGAAACGACCACAATTGAAACACACACACACACAACAACAACTATAGTTCACAGATGAATTGGGAAAGCCACTATTATGTCATCTAATCAAGACAAAAGTCTGAAACTCAAAAAAGATGAACTTTCCAAACAGCCTTCTGAGTGATAAAAGCCAATGCCTCTTAAGTGGCAGGCAACTACCTGGTTCTTCTGATTGCATCATAAAAGGAAATCTGTGCTCACCCCAGATTTCTAAAAGAGGTAAGGACTTCTAGTTCACAAATCACCTCTTTCCAAGGCAGGTGCCTGCCGTGACAACAGGGTTATGACCCTCCCTCTTTTCAGAACAGGTAGGGCCAGAAGAGTTAAATCCCTGCCCTATATAATTTATAAACATGAGGCTGAGTAAACCTTTGATGACTAAATTGCACTCTAAAATAATAATAATAGAAGACACCCTTTAAAGAAGAATTAAATACTGGTGACTTTTATTCCAGCAAACTGATATTACAAGTTTTGTGGTATGGAAGTTAATTATTAATGTCTTTGCATTGTAAAATACTTTTTTTTTCCAGCACAAACTGCATTAATTGGCAGAGCAGAGTGATAGAAGCCATTAGTGCCGGGGGAGGGGGTTCATAGAGCCGAAGAGGGGTGAAGAGATGTTCTGAATGTTTTACAAGCAGAACTCAGGAGTGAGGGAAGGGGGAACATTACCCAAAAAATGTACACACAGCGTGATGCATGACACCGTAACCCCCTGTACATCATCATTCTAATAACAATGATATTTTAAAGGCCCAGAACCTAGTACCTGCAATTGGGCATGCATCTGGACATATTGGAAACTCCGGGGGGAGGGGGGGAGTGGAGAAGCAGGTCCTGGCCTGTGTTCTGCATAGTGGACGCAGGACAAGATACAAAAGCAAGGGATGATTTTCTGTACCAGAATGGCTTTGAAATGAAATCCTTACTGATAATAGAGGGAGGGCTTTGCAACTTTCACAAGAGGGCCAAGGTATTCTTAGCTTCCATTTCCATCTCCCTATAAAACAGCCTTCTTTTAACCTTAGTGGTCTTTATGGTGGTTTTGTTTTGAGACAAGATCTCGCTGTGTTAACCTGTTCTGGCCTTATCTTTCCTTCGCTTTCTGGGATTACAGGTAGGTGCTACCATGCTTGACTTTAACCTCAGTCTTACGGTACAGGCTTACGAAAGTGGGCTTTAGAAGCCAGGTATGGCAGTACACACACCTGTATCCTAATACTTAGCAGGCTGAGTAGGAAGATCACCAGTTTGGTCTACATAGTAAGACCTTGTCAGAGAAAAGAAAGTGGAAAGAAAAAAGGTAAGCTTTGATACCTGATTTCCTAATCTGACTCCGCTGCTTGCTAATTGGGTAAGCAACTGACCTCAGTTTCCTGGTTCCTTGTCTATAAAATGGGGATATCTATGTTTTGGAGTGACAAAGATCTAATTAGATCATCTAAAGTATTGAATACAGGCCTGGCCAATCCATACATAGTAGCTTTTAATATCACATAAATAAAGGCTAGAAGGAGAGGAGCTATTGTTTTAGACAAGTTCCAATTTAGTGCCCACCCAGTACATGGTCATGCTCTGTATTTGTTGAATGAATGAGTAATGTACTTTTCCTTCTTGAGCAGTCCCTTAGTCAGAAGCTGTTCTCCAGCTCTCCACTATAAGCTCATTAATCCAGTTTCTTACCAGAACCACAGTTGGCCCAAGAGTCTTACAATTTCACCACTTCCTCAGCTTCCTAAACAAAACATTGATTTCTCTCAATTCCTTCCTTCTTTTCTTTGACTTGGGCACATAGGCATCTACTGATTTATCCATTTCCATTGCTAAGCACCTCCATTTGCTTCCCATTTCCCAGGGCTTTTTTGTAGCTTCCTATTATGGCTGTAGCTCCCAACTCCTCTTCACTGTTTTCTTCCATCCCAGGAGAAACATGCCTGCTTACCTGGCTGCTTCACTGAAGGCTTCTTAATCTGGCCCTCCAGATTCTTTCCAGAATCCTTTCTAGAGACAAACCCCACCATCCTTAAACTTTTCACTGTATGTTCCTGCAAATCCCTGAATACTTGGTGTGCCCTTTCCATTGTTTTTCTGTCTGAAATGAATGACCCTCATCATACTCGAACTCCAAAGGTCCTTTCGAGATTTGCACTCTTGCTTAGCTCTTGCTTTGCTCAAGGTTGGCTTTATACCATTTGACACAACTTCACTTCCACTTGCAGCTTTTTGGTGATAAATTGGATCAAATAGACTTGCTTGCCTGTGGCTGCCTTTAAATCACAATCATCAGATCTCAGCCTCCTGAGTAGCTAGGATTATAGGCATGAGCCTTCGATGCTGAACCAAAGCCCTCTCAATTGTCCCTCATTCAATGAGCCCCCTTTGAGGTAGTCCTGTCTTCCAAAGTCTAATGAAGCAGTGGTGTGCCTGCTTTGACACTCATTTGGAAGAGTTGCTGCTACTCCCTATAAGCCTGTTGCAAAATGAGTGAAGTGAGTAGAACTGATGGCATGCAACTGAGGGGAGCCTGCCCTTATCCAAATGCATCCCTAAAAGTTCATAGGCATGGAACTTCATTTTTCACCCCTTTTTTTCCTTCATTAGAAAGCTTTATTAAA